TTCACACCGCCATACCTTTTATTTATAAGGCTGCCATTCGTCCTTGCTTTGAATATTGCTACTACATCTGGTCTGGTGCTCCTGCTATATATTTAGAGATTCTTGATAAAATCCAAAGAATCTGCAATGTTATTAGTCCTGACCTGACATCTCAGCTTCAGTCACTTTCACACGGCCATATTTTTTATTTATAAGTCAACCATTCGTTCTGTCCCCCCCCAAAAAAAAAACGGAGATCAATAGGAACCGGGCGATAAGAGAACCTATTTACCTATCTAATATTGCCGCCACATCTGGTTTTGTGATTCTGCTATATATTTAGAGATTCTCGTTAAAATTCAAAGGCGAATCTGCAATATTATTAATCCTGATCTGGCATCTCGGCTTCAGTCATTTTCTTACATCCGTAGCGTAGGTTTTCCGTGTCTGTCCTGTAAATATTTTTTCTGATTCTGTAATTGTTCGGATGTTCTTTCCTCTATGGTAGCTTGAGTTTGGAAATTTAAGCGTACTACACGATTCCTGGCAAGATCTCATCATTTTAGAGTTAAAATAGATCCATGTAACCGTAAGTCCTATGCTGTCTGTTGCTTCTCTCGCATTTTTTGTTTGTTTGTTATTCTGTTGTGTTAAAAAATGCTTCCCAAAATATAATATACTTTTCTGAAAATTTATTTCTGGAATATTACGTTATTTAAAGTTTAATTAATCCTCCCCCCATGGTTAATATTTACACATCGTCTTTATTAACGTATAAACAGGAACAAACGCGTTGCTGGAGAAATTCCTAGATTTCTGGCTTTATCTTTTCTTTTTCTTTGTTTATATTTATACTAGCTGTGTACTCACCCTAGGGAAGACCCGCTTTGTTCAATTATATTTTGAAGGAGACACTCAAGATAGAGGGTTGAATATTAAGAGATATTAACCCTAAAGAAAGTGAAAGAGAATGAAAAGAGAGTGAAAGAGACTGCAAACATTTCAAAAGGAATCAGAAACCCAACAATAAACAGGGAGCCAAAAACCGGAGAGGAGTATGAACCGGACGATATCTATCTATCTATTGTAGAATTTTTTTTTGAGTTCTTCATTGATCGTCAAAAAGAATTAAATAATGTGACAAACGTTAATATCTGTCTTTATAATTCCTGTTATTTTATTGTCTTTTCTCCTTTTAGAGAGTTTTTTTTTTATTTTTGTCATATTTTCTCTAACTCTGTAAAAACTTGCGTCTTAGGGGCTTTCTAGCCTTGAAAGGGGTGAGGTATTTAAAAATAAAAAGACAAAGTTATCATCTCCCTGTGAATATTAAATATAAATTTCTGCGCGTATCTTTAGCCATACAAACCTTTACCCCATTTTCTGTTGAATGTCAGTCAAATCTTTTATCATTCATAAATATCTCATGATCCACATTAAATGAAATAAATCTCTCCGAGATTACCAACATATATGCTTGCGATGTTGGGGTGGGGGGGTTTCGCTAACGAGTGTACAATGCACCCAATTAATATCTCAGCTGAAAAAACCACCCCGAATAGCGTTATCTTCCCTATGGATATGTTTTCCCAGAATCCCCCTGTGGTTAATATTTACAGAGCGTCTTTATTAACCTATAAACAGGAACAGAAACGTTGCTGGAGAAATGCCGAGATCTGGCATTTTTTTTTTTTTTTTTTTTTTTTTTTACGTGTCTTTGTTTATATTTATACTAGCTGCTGTTACTCCAAAATAGGGAAGATTTTTTGTTCAATTATAAGAAAGGAGACACATACTCTCGTTCGTATTTTGTTCTTGAAAATTGTTATATATATATATATATATATATATATATATATATATATATATATATAATTAATTATTTAAAAAAAAATTTTTAATATACCCAACCTTATATATATATATATATATATATATATATATATATATATATATATATCCATGTGTGTAAAAGAGCATATTAACTATCTACATAGACAGGTATGTCAGATATATATTTTTTTATATATATATATATATATATTTATATATATATATATATATATATATATAATGTGTGATAAAGAATATTGTGTAACATTTTGTGTATAAAAGGAAAGGAAAACATAATATATTTATAAAATATATATATATATATATATATATATATATATATAACAAATATATTATATATATATATATATATATATATATATATATATATATATATATATATATATATATAAATTAATTAAAAAAAAATAATCCGGTGCTCTAGCCCAAATTTTCTTTTATTTTTAAAAAACCAGTGCTCGATACAAAATTGGAGCAAATATTAAATATATTTTCTTTTATAAAATATCAATTCCATTTTTGAAACATAAATTTTGATTGTTTTTCAAAACTGAAACTAAATTTATAAATTTAATTTTAATAATAAAACTTAAAGTACATATTCTCTTTCATTTGTCAATATAATAACCACATTTCTAAAAGAAATCAATTATACATATATCAATACACCATCTTCGAATTTCATTAGCCGTTTAGATTATTTATTTGTAACCCCAGTCATCAGACAGAAATATTTTTACGTTACTTATCTGTAACAATTTTTGAGTTTATATATTTATTTTTATATATATATATATATATATATATATATATATATATATATATATATATATATATATATATATATTCATGAATTATTCACACAAAAACAAATGCAAAGGTTAATGATTTAATTGGCGAGAAATCCATCATCGCAAACAATTCAAATAATATACAAAAACCTCCGAATCCGTTATGAATGAAAAGATCCTTGTTTCTATAAATTTCTGCTGTATTAGTTCTTATTTTTTACTACAAGCTTTCGTCTGTTCCTACAGACATCTTCAGGTATAGAATAGATGTTGTTCTTGTTTTTTCTCTTAGTAATAAGAGGACAACGAAAATATATGTATTGTTGTATCCGAAAAATGCTATTGGAAATGAGTTATTGTTTTTGGAGCGCGCAGTAGCAACGCTGAGTTTGATTTTAAATTTTTAAAGTTGTGCGTTCATATACAAATATGGTGATGAACGAATTTTTTACTGGTAAATTTTCTGTCAAAGTGGCATGAACTATATTGTTCAATAATTACAGTAATGTCGCACTTATTATCTAAAAGTCGCACTTGGATCAGTTATTTACTCTGCTGTTGAAGGCTCAAACAGAATTCGAACTCAAATCTCCGATTTCCCTTTCTTCGATGATAACTATTGCACAGAACCACACATCCCACCTTAGTTCTATGTACAATGACACTTTAGGACATGTTTGATCATGGCTCTCCTCAATTTCCTCTCCTCTATTGACCTTTTACATAAGTTGGTTAGGTATGTTTATGCAGTGCTTTATCTGCCCCTCTTGTCCTGTGTGAATCAAATTTTCCAAGCTCCCTTATCTTCAGGATGTGCTCTTAAAATTTCAAATCTTTTTCTGATGATACAAATATAGGTTGCGATGGATACAGTTTTGTCTAAATGACGCAAAAATGAAAACACTGACCTCTCATTTGAACAGAAATATTTAACAAAATTAAAGCAAAATATCTTGAAATACTAAAGAGCAAATTTCTTCAGAATCTCCTGGAACTTTTCTGGACGGTCTCCTTGTTTAAGTTGGTGGATGCTACCAAAATACTTGCCCTCAGTTCATCTTTGGTGTTACAAGTTTTGTTGTTCTCTTGCCCACAGATAATAATGAAGGGTTGCAGTCTAGGGACTTAGGTGGTCAGATGTAAGTAACAATGTGGCCGACAAGATTAAATTTCCTCAATAAAATCATCAGGGCTTCATAACGACTTCAGAATCTCTTGCAAATCTTCTGGAAGGTTTCTTTGATTAAGTTGGCAAATGCTGCCATAATCTTTGCTTTCAATTCATCTTTGGTATTACAAGGAGTTTTGTTGGTCTGTCGCTCAACTGCCCCCCCCCCCACATAATAATCAAGAGGAAAGCAGTCTGGGATATTCACTAGCTAGATGTAAGAGAGTGATGTGGTTTCAAAGGGTAGATTTATTCAGAAAATCGCTATTGACTTCAACCAAATCCTCAAGACGACTTCGGAATCTCCTGCAAATCTTCTGGAAGATTTCTTTGATTAAGTTGGCAAATGCTGCCATAATCTTTGCCTTCAGTTCATCTTTGGTGTTACAAGAAGTTGTTGTTCTCTTGCTCAATTGCGCATCGAAGGAGAATTAGGTGGCTACATGTAAGGGGTGGAAATGTCTGACAGTCATGACTGGGATATCTTGCTTGTGTGGTATAGTGCAGAGTCCTGTTGTCAGAATGAATGGAGGCATGACTGGATATTTCCAAATTCTCTAGAGAATCCTCAGATTAACATCCAAACACACTGAAATAATCGTATTGAATCTTCCGGCGAGAATACCAAGCACTGCAGCATGACGTTTTCAAATTTCTGGCGGAGTGAATTGCCTCATAGTGCTCTTTTTCTCATAGACTCTGCCTAACTGACTCTATATACTTTGTAGCGGACAAAATCAAAAACAAATAACGCGCATGCGCGAAATCAAAATATATAATGGCGGCCATTTATTCATCCCATCTTATTTAACGATGTATATTTTTATATATCAGGAACAATATTGGCAAAAATGTATGACAAAGTTGAAAAAAAAAAGTTCTCTTGTGACTTCATCAGACTAAATAGGCGAATATACATGAGCAAAAACCAAGGATGCTGGGAGTTTTAAACTTTTCATTTTGTTTAATCGAAATGAAATGAAATGAAATCGGCTAAAAAAAAATATTGAAATTTACGAAGATCGAAGTGAACAATTGACATATTTAATTTTTTTAAAGAACAAAATTGACAAGGAAGAAAGAAGCTGGAAGAGATTTTCCATAAGCGACAAGTGCGAAAGAAGAAAATGCTAGCATAGAACTTACGGCGTGTTCTTGTATTTTTATTGTTCTCTCTGCCTAATATCATTTTTAGAGGCTAGGTTGCATTATGGGTAAATTAGATAGATAGATAGATAGATAGATAGATAGATAATAGATAGATAGATAGATAGATAGAGAATAAATAGATAGATGAAGAATAGATAGATAATAAAGACATTAGATAGATGAAGATAGATAGATAGATAGATGAATAGGAAGCAGAAATCTTGAAAAAGAAGAAATGGGAAAAGATTTAAAGAAGAAATGAGAAAAGAAAAAAAGAAGAAGAACAAAAAAAAAGAAGAAGAAAAAAAAGATGATGATGATGATGATGATGGAGGAAAAGGAGGAGAGAAAAAAGGAAGATATGGCAGAAGAAGAATATGAAAGGGGAGAAGAAAAGAAGTAGAAGAAATGGAAGAAGAATAAAAGGCTGAAGAAGAAAGGGATAAAGAAGACGAAGAAGAAAACACAGAGAAGAAAAGGCAGATAATGAAGAAGAAGAGGATGAAAGAAAAGGAAGAATAAGCAGAAAAGGAAGAAGTAGAAAAGGAAGATGATGATGAAGAGGAAAGACAAAAAAAGAAGAAGAGGAAGAAGAAAAGCAAGAGGAAGAAAAAGAAGAAAGTAAAGAAGAAGAAGAAAAAGAAGAAAGAGAAGATGCAAGGTAAGAAGAAAAAGGCGTAGAAGAAGAAATGAAAGAAGAGAAAAAGGAAGAAGAAAAAAACAATGAAAAAGGAGAAGAAAATTAAAAAGAATAGGAAGAAGAAGAATGCAAAAGAAGAAATGGAAGAAGAAGAAGAAGAGAAAGGAGAAATCTCAGAGAAAGAAGAAAAGAAAGAAGAAAAAGAAGATGAAGAAAAAGGAAGAAAAAGAATAAGAAAATTAAGAAGAAAAGGAAGGAGAAGAAAAAAAAGGAAGAAGAAGAGGATGAAGAAGAAATCCCAGAAAAAGAAAAAAAAGTTGGAAGAAGCAGAAGAGGATGAAAAAAATGAAAAAGAAGAGGAAGAAGAAGAAAATAAAGAAAAAGTGGTTTATCAAGAAAAGACGGAAGAATAAAATGAAGATGTAAAAGAAAAGGAAGATGAAAAAGAAAAAAAAGAATAAGGTGATGAAGAAGAAAAGGCAGAAGAAGAAAAAGAAGATGAAGATGAAAGAGAAAAAGAAGAAGACGAAAAAGAAGAAGAATGTGTTGTAATAAAACCCGTACGTTAAAAGGGAACACAGAGAAATAGAAACATTGATAAGGTAAATAAAACGAAAACGAGGCTTCAAATTAAAAGCCCAATCAGTTTTAATGGTTTCCGTTTCGAATATTCTGTATTCAGTTACAGACGCTTCCAAACATTATCAAAGATTCATAGAATTTATAAATTTACGAGATACTATAAATAACGGCGTTTATTAACTTGCTCATGAGATTATTAATTGGATATAGAGTAATTTCAAAATGACCTTTTCATCATGAACTATTTTTCTGATCGTATATCTGAAGAACTCATCTCTATAAATAATTCCCAGTCCGAAAATAATAAGCATTTTATTGAGTCTTAGAAACAACACAAGGAATTTGTTTTGGTTTGTTTTGGTTCGTATTGAATTAGTTCGGAGAGAAAGGCTTTTACAACCGGTTAGGGTTAGGGTAGGGTGTATACGTTCAAATAATGGTGGATGCGAAAATGTTCGCGTGGATGAAGGAAACTCCTTTATAAAATATGCATATATAATATATATATATATATATATATATATAGATAGATAGATAGATAGATAGATAGATATAGATATATATAGATATAGATATATATATATATATATATTATGTATCTATGTTTCCATGTATGTATAGGAATAAATGGGAAATGCCCAGAGGTAAATGTCAATGAGTTCTTGAAGAAGATTCTAGAAGAACCTTGCAGTAGTTACGAAGAAAGAGAGTTAGATGAAGACAGGAGGGGGTGCTTGCGTTGCGAAAAAAGAAGGAAAAATTAAAGAGGTGGGGGAAAAGAGGTTTGATGAAGCAGAAAAAATTAAAATGGAGGTGGGTGGAGGGAGAAAATAGAAGAAAGAATGAAGAGGAGGAGAAAGAGGAAAAGAAAAGATTAACAAAAAATAAAGAAATTCAATGAAATCGAGAGAGAGAAAAAAGAGAGAGAAGAAGAGAAGAAAAGGAAAAAAAGGAAGAAAGAAGAAAAGAACAATAATTACTTTCTTGAGAAAAAAATGAAAAACGAAAAGGAAGAAGAAAAAAAGAAGAGGAAGAAGAGGAAGATAAGAATAATAATAAAAAGGAAAATGAAGAACAAGAAATAAAAGAAGAAGAAAAATATGAGGCTGAAAAAGATGAAGAAAAGAACGACGAAAGAAATGAAGAAGAAATAGATGATGATGATAATGATGAAGAAAAATGATGATGATGGTGAAGAAGAAGAAGAAGAAGAAGAAATGGTGAAGATAATGAAGAAAGAGAGGAAAAAGGTGAAGATGATCAAGTAGAAGGAGAAGAAGAAAAAAGATGATGTTGAGAATGAAGAAGAAGAAGACGAAGAAGAATAAAGAAGAAGAAAAAAAAAAAAAAAATGTTGAAAATGATGAAGGAGAAGAAAAAAAAAAATGATACTGAGAAAAAAAAAAGAAAAAAAAAGAAGAATGAAAAAATGAAATGAAGAAGAAGAAAGAAAGAAAAAGAAAGAAAAAAAGAAAATAAATGATGATGAAGAAAGAAAAAGAAAGAAGAATAAAAAAAAAAGAAGAAGAAGAATAAAAAAAGCCAAGAAGAAGAAGAAGAAGACTTTTAAAAAAAAAGAAGAAGAAAAAAAAGAAGGAAAGAAGAAGACGTAAAACCAAAAATATAGAAATGGTGTCACTGAATAAGACAACACGAAAGAAAAGCAACCACACCATTGCAACGGCTACTCTTACTACTCCTCATACTAATATTACTATTGTACGACTACTAATAGATATGGATGGCCCCGTAATTATACAAATAAAAAAAACTGTTGAAATACATATAAGAGAAATACGGTGTTATCAAAATTTAGAAGCACAAATTCTCTGGCGCTGAATACATACATATATATATATATATATATATATATATATATATATATAAATAAATAAAAAAAAAAAAAAGAACAGTAAGATATAAAATCCGGTGTTCTTATAGATATTTTTATTTTTACAAAATAGTAAAATGTAAATTTACAGAGCATTAATATTATAAAAGTAATTGATTTAAAATATGTTTTTTTCCGCTAAACAGTTCCAACCATGTTTCAAAAATAGAAGCTAAAATCAAAATTTAATTTTGCAATTAACGCTTCAAGATGAAATGGAACTAATTCTTTTAATTTAATTGCAAAATTAAATTCCTTTTTTTTTCTTCTATTTTTGAAACATGGTTGGAACTGTGTAGAGAAAAAAACCATATTTTAAATCAATTAATTTATAATATATATATATATATATATATATATATATATATATATATATAATGTGTGTGTGTGTGTGTGTGTGTGTGTAATGTTCAAAAATATGTTTCAAAATTTGCACCAAAATTTACATGCACATGCTTTCAAGTTAACAACAAGGCCAAGAAAATTTGCATTACTACAACTCCCATCGATAATGGAAATAATCGATTTTTTCATGCTTCTACGGCAGTTTTCATGTAGTTTGCGGCCATTTTACTGGCCAGAGTGAGAGCCTATAGCTGGCTGCCACGAATAGGCAGGAAGATTCTATTGGCCAGCGTGAGAACCAACAGCTGACTGACACGAATGTTAACTAGCATTCTAGCATGCAAAAAAAAAATAGCTGCATTCGTCAAAGTGGAAAAATTGAAATCTGCATGGCACTTTACTCCAATTGGCTCATTCGCTTGCTTAAACTCAGCGTTGATTCTGATTCCGCAGAACTGGGTTGGGTGTGAAAAAGTATTTGTTGTTAACATTCTTTTTTTTCATTCGGTTTTTCCAGTTACGAGTCCTTTTAAAAGTTGATCGTTTTGTGTTCATTTTGTTTAGTTCTTTTTTCGTAACAGATTTAATGTTTAGTATAGAGCTTAGAAAAAATTCGCAGTGTGAGATAGGCAAGAAGTAAGGAATGTAGCAACATCAGCACGGCAAAGGGCATTCCTGAAAAAAGGAAAGAAAGGGCAAAAAATATTGCGAATTGCTTCATCATCATACGATTTTTTGAATCGACGAAAGCCAAATTATTTGTATATATATATATATATATATATATATATATATATATATATATATATATATATATATATATATAAGAGAGAGAGAGAGAGAGAGAGAGAGAGAGGATAGATAAAATAGATAGTGTAATTGCAAATAAAAGTTTGTATGAATATACAAGTCAACACTTATAAGCGACTGTGTTTCATGCTAGAAGCAATCGTCAGGCCTGAATTATTTAAATTATTTTTAAATAAATTTTTGAAATAGAACAAAGTAGTTTTAGTCTATTCGCATGAAAGTAAATCTAAATTGAAAGCTTCAAGATTTTTTCATGTTTTAAAAATTCATTTTAAATCGATGCCTATTTTAACAATATACTTTTTTATATATCGGCCTATTTTTGAGTGATAATCGTTAATGTAATAGAAATATTAATATTAGTCTTTTCCTCATAAGGAAATATTTGGCGTTCATTGACTGAACAACCACCACTGCTTTCGGTTGATACTGATAAAATCTTCTGAAAACGGTTCTTCAGAAAAACAGATTTATCCAGTCCAGTATCTGTTGTCGCTCTTTCTAGTAGTGATTGGGTTTTATTTGAATTAATATGGAAAGTCGACATATTGGCGAAGAAAAGAAAATAACCTTCAAACACAGCTGCATAAATTTAAATAAATTTGATATTGAGTAAGCAAAAATAATTTTTCTTTTCTTTTATGTTGCAAGAAACCAGTTACAAATTTCTTCGCAAACAGAGTTCATTAAATTTTTTTTACAACACGATAGAAATGACATGTGTTTATATAGGGTTGGTGGGCTCAGCGAAATTGTGACTAGAATCCAAAATCTACGTTCTTTTATGTGTGTTTAGCGTAAATATATATCATATATATCGTGTACACACACACACAAATATATATATATATATATATATAATGTGTGTGTGTGCGTGTGTGTATATGTGTATACTAATTCTTTATAAGACAGTATGTATGTATGGAGAGGGAATATACATATACTTACGCATGCTGACAGAAACCCACACACTACAAATAATGGAAATAGAATAGGGGTCATTAAAATGAGAATACAGGTATCTTTTCCCTCCTTTTCTCGGACCAATCTTAATTATTTTATTACCCTTCACTCAGAAGAACTTTCTCAGTGGCCGATCAAGGAAGACATGTTTAACCTCAAGAATGTTTAACATTGAATAACATAATTCCTTTTAATAATATATGGAAATATCCAATTTTCGTCTGATGAAGCTCGCGAGACCAGAAACACCTGTTGCAAAATTATGGAAAATAAAACATATATATTTTTAAAAATTCCATATTGCAACACAAAGTTTTGCGGTTTCTCTCTTCTTAATATGTACACTTTTCTCACGTTGGAACAACTATAACCTCTTCCCATTATATACATGTATATATATATATATATATATATATATATATGATTGAATAAGGAACAAATTAAAAATATATATAATATTTTAACAAAGCGTGTAAATATATTTTTGAACATTGAAGTCTTTTTAGACGTTTGGTTTATCATGAAAACGTTTTCTTTTTTTTTTTTTTCAATGTTCAGAATTTATATATTTATATATATTCTATATGATTATATTAGCATTTATATATATAAATATAGTATACCTATATAGTATATATATATACACATATATATATATATATATATATAATTATTATTTATAAAAAAAATTATAACATAAGTATGTTATAAAATCACTAAAAAAATAGCCATTTTGTTTCAACACACTGTGTCTTATCAAGTGATGATGTTGAAAATAAAATAAATGGTTTTAAAAGTTTAAAAGTTTAACGATCCTACACTAGGGGAAACATTGTTACAAAAGCTAGAATAACCAATCAAAAAACAAAGTATAGAAAGATTCAAAAGCTTGACAACGAAATCATGCTATAATAGCTATTCAGATCTTTAAAATACGTGTAATATTAAAAATAATTTATACTAACCAATAATTATAAAATTATATGATAAATAAATTTAATATTAAAATTAAAAACTGGCAATTTTAAAATCCAAATTTAATCACTATTAAGTTTAAAAACTACAAAATTATTGAAAAAAGAAAAAATATATATGTTTATTCAATTCATTTCTTCACTGAAATTACGTTCGACAAGACGCTACAATATATCCGGTCATTTGACAATACATGTATATATATTTTTTTTATTATTTTTTATTTTTTTTTTTTAAGTGTGTGAATGTGGTCTTAAACTCACGCGCAAAACATCAAAAACACAATCAGATTATAATACATAAGCACCCAGACATAATTAGATATATACACACACGAGCGACGAGACAGGAACATCTCTATAGCCCTTTATGAAAAAAGGAAACGGGGAAACCAACACCTATACACACACACAGTTAAATGTGAATACACTCTACATACACATAGACACCGATAGATACACGTACACACATCCACAGACAATGACATAGACAATCAGATACCACAACCAATAAATATTTCAGACTTAAAGTATCATTAAATAAATGCTAACCACTTATTAAATTATAACTTAAGGGAGCAAATATACAAAGATAAAAATGGTTAAAAATAATATTATTTAATATATTAAAACGAAAATTCCAAAATCATAAATATCAATAAAAATATATATTAATCATATAAGTTGATAATAGTTTCATTATATATTAGGCAAAGAAAAACAGGATAAAGAAACCCACAGATACATATATATACACGCGGCAGCAAATACAAATTAACACACATAAACATACACTCATACATTATCCCTCTATATCGAAGAATCTTTTCACCTTGGCTTTGGACTTCGCCCGGGAATACTCTACTATTTCTGAGAGTGAAGTTGACATTATCATGAAATGCCGAAATTCTGTTCTGATTTACAAGGATGAACAGTGGACCAAAAAGTCTTCCAACAACAATTTTGACATTTCTAAGGGTTCTTTGGATTCTGCTGAAGCTTCTGACTTGGTCGGATTATTTCTTTTATATAATTTAAGTGCCTTCGATTGTCTAGATTCAGATAGTGTAGGATTGTATAGAGATGATGGATTATTAGTTGTTAAAAACTCTACTAAAATTAAGGTAGACCGTATTAGGAAAAGGATCTATAGGGTATTTAAGGATTTAGGTCTTAGGACAATAGTTACTACTAATGTTAGACAAGTGGATTTTCTAGATGTCACCCTAGACCTTGCTAACAACACTTTCCAACCATATGTGAAGGTTAATTCCAACCCAATATACGTGCATCCAAATTCCAACCATTCCCCTTCAGTCATCAAACATATACCCTCTTCCATTGAACTTAGAATTAGCGCTAACTCTTATAACAAGGATGTTTTTAATAAACATCGTGATTTTTACAATTCTGCATTCAAAAATAGTGGATACAAAAATACCACTATTCAATATAAAAACCCTGTTAATTGCAACCATAATAAGAAAAGAAGATCTAGAAAGATCATTTGGTTCACTCCCCTTTCAATATAATGGTTAAAACTAAATTAGGGCGTATATTTCTAAACCTCATTAAAAACA